CCCCAAAACCCCAAAACCCCAAAACCCCAAAACCCCATTTTCCTAAAAAGTTAACGAATTCAAATTAATTATACCTTAATTTTCCTGGAAAGTTTCATTTAAGAGAGAAAGGACCTTCTCCTTTCTCTTCTTCAGATCTTCTTCTCTTTGATCAGAGGACTTCACTGCACTACTGACTTCTAGGTACTGTTTATGTGCTTTGGCATCTTCTTCCTCCTCTTCCTCTTCTTCATCCTCATATTCGTCCTGTTCTTTCGTCAGTCTTACTTTTTCCATGTCAATAGGAGGCACAGGGTTCTTTTTCATCGGCTTGGGTTCTTCCTTCTCTACTTCTACACCAAAAACCCCAAGCCTATCAGTCAGGAGGTCAATTTCACCTAGATCTAATCTTTTAATAACCTCCTGCTCTCTGCCATGAAGCCAGTTAATTTGTTCGTTGAATTTGTGTTCCTGGTCCTTATGTTGAGCTAGCTGGAGCCTCAACTTCTTATACTCCTTATCAAGCTTATGCATCTTCTTAATCCTTTGTTGCATTTCAGTGTACTGACACTCAAGTAATTCTTTCTCTATTTTCTCTTTATTAAGTTCTTCCTCCGTTTTCTTAAGAGTTCCCTGGAGTTGGATGTTTTTATGCTTCTCCCTTCATTCAAGGTTCTGAATACAACCTTCCACTCCTTCCTTTATAATGCTGAAGAGTTTGCTTGAGAAAGGATCCAACTCGGAAATCTGGAAGAGAGTCTGTAGCGCACAGTTTATTTTCTCTTCCTCTATCTTAGTGGAATACACGGGTGTATTCACCGACCTTTTTGCTTTATTTCATTTAGAATCAATGGATTTTATATCTTTCTTTAAATCTTTTCCAAGCTTCTTAATCTGAGTTGTAAGCTTCATATTTTCTTGCATTCTATCCATTATGAGAGCATCCTCATTTAGCTGAGAATTTTCTGGGCAGAAAAATGAAACAGGCGACTGGTCTTTCCTCATGATGCTATTTTGATAAGTACTGATTGCACTATTTCACTTGGAATTCTTCCGATCATCCCTATCCTTGGACTTAGCTCTGCTGATATTCTCATCACGGCACCTAGACCTTTTGCCTGATTTCTTTCTCTGACCAGTAGGGTTAATGCCTTTTGGGTATAATCAATAACTTGTAGATAGCTTCTTAGCTTCCTTAAATTTCTTAGGAGAATTATACTGGTCATGCAAATCCATTCTTGTATACCTCGCATCGCTATTAGGTTACCGAGAGGCTTACGTCCAGTCTTTGATACTCGCAGCAATTTTTGGGTTCGTACTTGACTTTCTTGAGTTTTTACTCTTTCCTTTATTTGAAGACTTATTATGCCTTCCCTGAGATGAGTCCAATACTATCGGAACATTCTTAGATTTTTTCTATGCATTGATACCAAATGAATTACATTTTGGGTCTGTACGATAATATAAGGCTGCCTTCCTTTACTCTTGCTTTTCCCTTTCTTAGGCACTTTGTTGGAAATATAAGAGCGATAGGCTTTATTCAGATTTTTACTTAGTTTTCTTCAATTATTCTTCTCTTTAGAGTGATTCCCAGTACAGCTCTATTTAAGTCAAGCCAGATGATATAATATAAATTACCTTTAGAAAGTTCTTCGTTGGATAATTTGAGTAATAATTAAACATTTGAGACATATCCAGATTAGTATTGTGAAATGAAGTATTGGCAAAAGACTCCTCAAACTTCTTCGCTTTAGGAGATTTCTTTGACTTTGACCTGCTTCTAACACTAATCTTCTTGCTTGACCTCCTTTTATCCAGATGAATTGATTCATTTTCTGTTCCAAAAAGCGACCTGTTGAGCTTATGTGGGGCTAAGGGTCTTGTAAGTATGGACATGAGGTCGAAATAAAATTGATAAATTTACCTATGCTTGAACCACATCTATGATCCCTTCTCTTCTTCTTATTCTCACTCTTGATTTTTGATCGACCATGAGATCCTTTGGATACTTTATGGTGTTTCGAAGAATTTGACTGTACATTAATGAAAGCTATTTACTCCTGAGTTCACTCTGTTTACTATAATTTTATCATTATTTTATTTACCATCCCTAGAATTCTTGTGAGAAGATTTTGGCTTTCTAAAACTAGAGTTTGCACAACTATTGGTGTTCTTATTATAATACCCAAGTGAGTCTACTCTCCCTTGCTTTCCATTTGCATGTCTATAAAAGTTCTTAAAACAATTCTTAGGGCATGATTGAATAAAAATATCGTGAAATACAGATTAGGTTAATATCTAAAGTTAGAAATTACCTATTCCTTCTTGAGGAGGAGAAGTTCTCAAACATATTCCATTGCCAAAGGTCAGCTTTATTTAAAAGTCCCTCTGAAGTAAGTGTGTAAAAGCCTACCTTCCATTTTTAGACGCAAGTTGCTCACAGATCTCTGAAACTAGTTCTAAATGAACGTTATAGGAATGTAACTTGAATTTAATGTTAAAATTTCTGATTTACACTCTTGAAAAATATTGTGAAGTCTTGTAAATGGTTAACTCAAAATATATAAAACCAAGGGAGCTCTAAATTGTGCTATAAAACATACCTTTCTTCGACCACCGACTCCGGCATGGAGGAGTAAAGGTATCAGGAATTCCAGCCCTCCCATGATGGCTTGACCCAGGCCGTATTTCAGGTTTGTTCAAATAAAGTTGGTTCATCAAGCTGCTATCTTTAATCTTCTTACATTCACTCTCTTCTTCATTACCCAAGGTTCCCCCTAAAAGCTAAGTCAGGTCTCTTCTCATTAACCCATGTCTTATTATTAATGTCTTACTTCTTCGGACCTCCATTATATATTTTTTAAATTATTCAAATCATTTGCAAACTAAGGGGTTTTGGGGTTTTGGGGTTTTGGGGTTTTGGGG